GGAAAGATGTCAATTTCATCCTCGCACCTTGCAATGTGGATGGGCACTGGGTTGTTGTGAAGATCGACTTGGTCAAGTGGACAATAAAGGTGGTGGACTCGGCAAGAACTTCAGTTGCTAAAGATAACGAGGTGTGTTCACCTCAGATGACATCCATTCCAAAGATGATGCCCATCATTTACCACCAATCTGGTTATTTCAACAACACGCACTGTAAGAAATGAGATTTCACACCGATGCCATTGGAAATTCTTTTGCCAAAATCTCCAGTGCATCGCTAGAAGGATAATGTCAACTGCGGTATGTTTATTGTAGGGTACATTGATGATATTTTGCAATCCGAACTAATCAGAGTTAAGAATAATATGATTGCTAATATGCGTCGCTAATATGCGTCGCCAATACGCTTTAGAAATTTTTACCAACTATTGTAGAGCAAGCCCTTAACTTGTGAACATACTGATAGTTGTATGTATATTTTTTGTAGATACAATTCATTTTAATTATAATATTTGTTCATTTTATACATTAATTTTTCAATTCAGACATAGTACTTATAATGACCCTAAGCTAATGTTTAAAATAAAATACTATTTTACCTTCAACATGTGGATTTTTTATTGATGGCGTGTCACGAGAAAATGTAAACGACATCTAACAAGCGTGGCATGTCACCACAATACTGAAATGACTCAACGTGCCACCATAAGATGCCTTATCAAATCTAATAATTAAAACGTGGTGTGTCACCTCATAATACTACAATGAGTCAACATGTCACCACAAGATGTCAATGACATCTAAGAAGCGTGGTGTGTCACCCTATAATATTGCAATGATTTAACATGTCACCACAAGACGTCAAAGTCATCTAACAAAAATGACATGTTACCCTATAATACTGCAATAACTCAACATGCCACCACAAGATGTCAATGATATCTAACCAACGTGGTGTGTCACCCCATAATACTGTAACGACATGATGAGTCATTACAAGATGTAAACGACATTGAACAATTGGAGCATGCAACAATATAATATGACTTACTAGAATGTTATTGTTACCCGAAATCTGAGTCTTCTGAGATTAATTTTTTTGTACGATATCTTTTCGTGACTTATTTATGTAAAATTAATTATAAAACTTGTTAAAAATTCTACTCATCGACACAAATTAAATTAAAATATTTCAATTAAATAATATATGATCTTACATAGCAAATTATCAGTTTCAGTAACAAACAATATGACAATTTTTTATTCATTGATCAAAATTAAATACCAAATTCAAATAATCAAATAATATATCTATAAAATAAATTAAAAAAATAAAGACTCATAATATATTTACACTACTCCTTCCAACGTCGGTTTGCCCATGGATACAACAAAAATATTTTCTAAGTCCATTATTAACTAACAAACACAAAATATGAATAAATGTAAAAAATTGTAAAAGGATATTGTCACCACAAGGTATTGGACATGGCTCACACATTTAGTTAGGCTGACAAACTATCTTCATCTACAAGACACTCAACGTTTTCAAATATTGTCCTTTGTATTGGACAAGTGTTGCATGTGTGACTGGTTTGTCTACAAATTGAACATGCTTTTGGTCATCGCCCTCGTGGAGGCACCGATTGACTTAGAGATGGTGCCGGATTTATGGATGGAACTACAAAAGGGGATGGGCAATTCTATCTATTATGCCCGTACTTCTTGCATTATGAACATCTCCGTGGTTGACTGCCTTCATTAGCCGATGGAATCCTTTTCTTCCTAATTTTTCTTTCTTGGCCTCACCAAGATGGTAGCAAAACAAAGATTTGTTTCACATGAGGGGGGATGTCTCAATCACTGGGATGCCCTACCGGGTGAGTGGACCCCGCATAATCCTCTACCAAAAAGGTTGTCTTGTAGTAATCAATGCAGAATTCAACGGCTTAACGTTTGCATTTACTAAAAAATACAATGAACTCAATGTTCAAGTATAATGTAAATGATATGTTAATTAGGGTTCAAATAAGAAATAAAGATATCTTGACCTCATTGCCGCAATGGCATAGCTGCATGGCAATAGATCTATTTGAAACTCACAATATGAACATGTCTTTCTCGACAGGTTTACAAGTCCATCCATCTTCTCGTCTTTAACTTCAAACTCCAATCGATTGATAAGTTTAACTACAAAGTAATGTGCATGATTGAACTGTCTACTCAACTGCCTGGCAGCTTAACGGTTAAGGGGCATGGTAACTTGGACGGCCTCCTTGTACTCGTCATGGAACCAATGTTGGAACATTTCTTTGATGAACTCGATCAGAACAGTGATTGGCATTTGTCTTGCATGCTTCAAGCATGAGTTAACACATTCTGCAATGTTGAATGTCATGAATTGGTATCGCTTTGTCAGTAAATGTGCACGTGCCCATCTCTTAGGGCCTATTCTCACAAGGTTAGAATGGGCTTCCGTGTGAATCTACTTGAGCTGGTTCATATGTCTGAAGAAATCGAAAACCTTATAGTAGTCTTGAGTAAGGGTTAAAATCATAAAAACATCATCATGCTCGAACTTCTTTTTAAAGTTTTGTTTCAAGTGGTAACTGCATAAATTATAATATGCTTCTGGGTATGCGTTTTGGATTGCTTTCTTAATGCAGAGATGTTGATTAGAAATGAACATAGTATTTTCAGGATAACCAACCACATCATGCAGCTTGTTAAGAAACCACATCCATGAGTCTTCATCCTCAACATGCCCTATACCAAATGCAACTGGATATATACACTCGTTTGCATCTTTACATGCAGCAATAAATAAAACACCTTTAAACCTTCCTTTCAAATGTTTCGCATCAATTGGAACCATAGGACATATTACATCCTTAAACTTTAGGATACAAGCCCCATATGACTAGAAACAATATTTGAATCTTTATGCCTCATTAGTAGCCACTATAATGACTCTACCAGGATTTTCTCATTCCAACATATAAAAATACGAAGGTAGTAGTTGTTTTGCACTAGCTCCATGCTAGTATACATCAAACAATGCATTCGACATTTTGTTAAGAATGTGCCTCATGCATATGTAGTCGTCAGTATCCCATTTTTGCCCTTAACGAGTTTGGTTCATGAATTCTACTTCACTTTCTTCCTTTGGTCTTAGTGTATCTAAAACGTAGGCAACCTTGAAAGTTGTAAAGAGAAAGTGCATCTTTTTCTACCAACGAATAAAGTTTTCTCCTTCAAAGTGGTCTAACTTAACAATGTTGGTAGCCATCTTTTTTAGGGAAGTCATTTTGTTGAATCCCAATCACATAAATATAGGTCTTAAAATTGTTCATGCAAATGGGGTTTATTTCAAATTCAATGGAACCAATGAAATTGACTTCAAGGTATGCCTTTATAGACAATATATTTAAGATTTATTTTGCTCCCACTACTTGTTCAACAAAAAGGAAATTATGCCAATAGCTTTAAAGATACAATGAAGCCAATATCTAACTTCATCTTACATTTACGAGAGTAATCTGTTATACACACCCAAGGGTTGCAAAGTTATTGGACCTTAGAGTTGACTTTCTGTGGCAAGTTGATTATAAAGAGTTTGGACACTTTTGGTAAACTATGGGAACTCAAAATGTTTATGTGTTCTTTTTTTTTTTTTCTGAAATTTCATTCAAATGGCATGGCTGATAAGCTTAATTGTTCTTCTTTCACTAGTTTTCATCTTGAAGGTAGATGACTAACTCCTTCCTTCATATTTTTATGAAGTGAGCATGGTAAATTTTTTTTTTTGGGAAAGCCTGATTTATTTTTTAATTTCTACATAACTATTCATCTTTTGTTATGTTGACAACGTTTATATTTTATTTTCTTCTGGGAGAATTTTATATATTTTATTATTTATTTGATGCAAAGCGTGATAATGCGGAGGGCTAATATTGAGAAAAGTGGGACAAAAAAAGCTTCAACAAGCAGGTGAATTCCCATGCCTGATTCATGGTTAAACTTTATTTTGTAGTTCACGTGACTCAACTATTACTAAAACCATCATCCTTTTGGATCTATATTATGTGATCATTATAAGCTCAAGTTTTATATGTTAAGAGTAAACGATGGAAACTCAAAGAATTTATGTCTTTTTCTGAAATTTCATTCAATTCATAACACTTCTCTTACTCTCACTTTCCCATCCTTGTCTTGCTTGTTTTGTTGTATGTCAAAATGATTGCCAACAAGTCCTTTACATAAACTTGCAAATGTCTTTTCTTTAATGACACAATCTTTTCATTAAGGCATATCTATGTCTTAAACACGCCTTTACATGTTACAAAACATAACTTTTGGATAAAAATATTGTTTCAAAAATTACCTTATGAAAGGACAACCACTCATACCATAAGACATAACCTTTGAGTCACAAAATGCAAAAATAACTTTTCATATCATAACTTCTGACTGGTGGTGTTTTTCAATTGTCTTGTAATGTTTGTATTTAAAGGTGCTTTGTAAATGTTACTTTATCAAGACACATAACCTTTCACACAAAAGATCAACTACAATCCAATAATCACATTATGTGACATAACCTTTCAATTGGTATATCTTTCCAACCTTTCATATAAAAAGACGTAACCTTTCATTTTAAAAATATACCAAAAAATATTTACAAATATGGTAGATAGCTAATTATACATGTTATATCCATATACAAATGTTATGAGAATTTATGTTCAAGATATATACATGGAAACATATTGCACAGATGATTATATACCATCTTTGAAAATCTTTCTATTTTCTAGTACATGCATTTATGGTAATTTGTTGTAAATAATAAATTTGATGAAAGATTAGCCTCTATAAAAATGTTCAAATTGTAAAGCCTATCTATATTTTCTTAAGTTAGTCTCTCTTCCGTTAAACTTGCTTCCTCCACTTTTGTTCAAACTGTTCTTTACGTTGGAATTTGCTTCGCAAAGTCACAAATGGCATGGCTGATAAGCTTAATTGTTCTTCTTTCACTAGTTTTCATCTTGAAGGTAGATGACTAACTCCTTCCTTCATATTTTTATGAAGTGAGCATGGTAATTCTTTTTTTTTTGGGAAAGCCTGATTTATTTTTTAATTTCTACACAACTATTCATCTTTTGTTATGTTGACAACGTTTATATTTTATTTTCTTCTGGGAGAATTTTATATATTTTATTATTTATTTGATGCAGAGCGTGATAATGCGGAGGGCAAATATTGAGAAAAGTGGGACAGAAAAAGCTTCAACAAGCAGGTGAATTCCCATGCCTGATTCATGATTAAACTTTATTTTGTAGTTCACGTGACTCAACTATTACTAAAACCATCATCCTTTTGGATCTATATTATGTGATCATTATAAGCTTAAGTTTTATATGTTAAGAGTAACTTGAATCCTTACATCAACACTATCAATTCCATATCTTATCACTTCCGGTTTGTAGAAAATTAATGAAACATAAGAATCCCGTTTCTGGTAATGATATGGGAGATTACGTCTTTTAAACTCTTATTATTCTCGTTTCTCTTATCTTCTTCTACATTGCTTTTAGAAAGGTAAAAAAAATAAAAACGAACAAACCTACTACCTACCCAAGTTATTAATTATCAAGTTTAATAAAAATATAGTGATCCTTACTGTAATGAATAGCAACGGTTTTGTTTTCAACTCTCATTTGACTTCATTTCTATCTTAATTTATGATATAAAAGCGATTATCTTTTATTGCATAACCCAATTTCACAGGCACAAAAATAATTTCCTTACTCTTATTGCAGTACCTTGGCCACGAATTCTGTTGGTTCTACTCAAAACCAAAAGAACAAGACAAAGGTCATTTTCGTGATGGGTGCAACAGCTACCGGTAAATCCAAACTTTCCGTTGACCTCGCAACCTATTTCTCGGGCGAAATCATCAACTCGGATAAAATACAAGTTTATGAAGGTTTGGATATCATCACTAACAAAATAACAGAGGCGGAGGGTCGTAGTATACCACATCACATGATAGGCTTTGTTGATCCTAACGAAGACTTCACTGTAGATGACTTTTGTCACCATGCATTGCAAAATATTGATATTGTTTCCAAGAAAGGACGACTCCCCATTATTGCCGGAGGGTCAAATTCTTATTTAGAGACACTGGTGGAGGATTCAAAATTTAAGTTCCAAGACAATTTTGAATGTTGCTTCATCTGGTTAGATGTCTCCAAGTCTGTATTGTACAAGCGAGTAGCGAACCGAGTTGATGAAATGGTTGAAGCAGGTTTGGTGGAGGAAGTTCGAGGGACGTTTGTTCCCGAAGCTGATTATACCAAAGGAATTCGACGGGCTATTGGGGCTCCAGAGATGCACGACTACTTTATGCTTGAGAAGGACACAAACATTGATGATTCTACCAAAAACGAGAAACTGGCTCATGCCATTGAAGAAATTAAAGTTAACACTTGTAAGCTGGTGGATTCTCAATTCCAAAAGATTCAACGGCTGAGGGAGGAACTTGGGTGGAAAATGCACCGAATTGATGCGACATCCGTGCATGAGAAATGCGGCAAGGATGCTGAGGATGAATGGATGAAGGAAGTGCTGGAGAAAACTATAACAATAGTGGATGAGTTCTTAAAGTAGGATGCGAACATCATCATGGTTTATGCTTGGTGGTAATGATCGTGACAATCTTATTTGATCTGCCGTTTGTTAATTGTAGTTCTGCTCAATCATTTCCATATGTTGTTAGGTGGAGTATGAGGTGTTGTTTTGCTTGGTAATGCATTAGTTTCTGTTTGATGCTTTGGCGGTCGTATGGCGGAAATATTTGTGTGGCATAGGCGTTTGTTTCTGTAATGTTTAGGTGTTGTAATTGGACCATTGTAGCCATCTGATGGTCTAATCATCCTTGGCCCTGTCAGGTTGCATTTTGTTACATGAATCAATGAAATAAACTTGACTTGATTGAGCGGAAAAAAAAAACAACATAGCCTTTTTCTTAAGAGAAATAGTTTATTGGTGTTTTTTAATATTTAAACTTATCTATTCAATACGGTTCAATTATCCAGTGTTAAATTCTTACATCCGTTAATTATGAAGTGGTTCATAACATGTCTCTTATGGATGGAGGCAGTGTATGCATCATAAATAACACTAAGAATAGATCAAGCTTGAGATATTTTCAAAGTCTAATTACGAAACAAGCTTTTTCTCTTCGTTATTTACAAAAATTAACCACTTTATGTCAATCCTTATTCTGCTAGTTAAACCATTATCATTCACTTATATAAGTCTCGTCTTAAATTTAAATAGGTGGCTTGATTATAACCATGTTTGAGTAAATTGAATCATTAATCTTTAATTTCTATTTTTATTTTTTTATTTTCATTTGTGATCCAAAAATTTTGATTTCTTCATGCACAATTTTTTGAATTTATTTTAAACCATCAGTCCATCAATACATCATTAGAATTTCAATGAAATATAGATGAAATTTGTCGCATGACACTTTGTAAACTTAAATGTGGAAAATTTAGGTTTGGGAGCATCATTTATTTTATTTAGGTCTATTTAGTTAATGTTTTTACCATTAAATGTAAAAAGTAATGTAACTTCAGTTGTAATATAATTAATCTATGTAGAAGTAACATCATGCACCTTTTCATATAAAGCAATTATATTGTAATTGTTCGTTTTTTTTTTCCTTCCAAACACATTTATCTAAAGAAAACTTTAAATAAAGTTTAGTTCAATAAATGCATGTTGTAGATAGTTCATAATGTCATAATGTACTAATCATATGTATAGCTTTTAAATAACAGAAAAGATGATAATTTTCTAATTTAAAGAAAAAAGGAATAGAGATACTTGAATTCAAATAAATTTATTTTGTGAACAATTAATAAAAGTTCAAACCGATTAACGGATATCTATAGGCCTTGTTAAGGTTAATAAAATTTTTGTTTTAAAAAATATTTTTTCATTTATCAAAATATTTTCAGCACATATAAGAAAAACCATATATTAATTACAAAAGTATTTCAATAAAAATTCTTTTATAGAAGGGTTTTCATTTAAAAATTGCCTTTTATCAAATAGTTACACTCCTTACACTGAATCTTTTATGATTGCATTCTCACATCAACGACGGTTTCGTATAAATCGGGTAAAAGTGAGTAAAAGTTAATTAAAACCAACGTAACTAATAAAGGTGATTATTTTGGTTCAGTTAACTCAGTTAAAATTGTTAATTTGTTTAAGGGGTTGATTAGGTCAATTAAATCCGGTTGATTCGGTTAAAAAAAAATTAAATTAGTTAAACCAAATTAACTCACTTTATGTTTACTATTTTTTTACGGCAAGTCTCGCATGTATTTCATTCACAAAGCTTCTCCATGCTCATGTGTAAATTAAAGGTTCAAATTGCATCAAACAAATGACAAATAGCAATTAATTTCTTTAGTATTTTATTTTTTATTTCAAATTTCATTTTTTTTATTTTTATGTGTATGAATAAATATTTCATACAAATATTCAACTCCCCATGTAACAAAAAAAATTAAATTTTTATGAATCTCTTTTTAAGCATTAGTATCATTGACATAATGGAGCTTCAGAATTATTTTTTTTTTGGCTCAGCCAAAAAGGATTTGTATTAATCACATCAAGTAAATACAAAAAGAGTTCAGCCAGAGGCATTTAACAAAGTAGTGAAAATCAAAAAAAGAGAAAAATCCTGAGAAAGATGAGACCAACCATACAAGCAGAAAACAGCAAGTAAACATGTGGAACGAACAGCAAGCTGGACCAAAGGCAGCCACAAGCCATAATAAATCACGACCAGGTCAAGAAGAGTGAAGATTTGTCAACTCCAAATTTAGCGAGAGAATCAGCAAAAGTATTTCCTTCTCTAAACGCATGCTGAAAGGAAACTGTAGCAAGAGCGAGTCTCAAAGAATCAATTTGGTTAAAGATATTCCATTTATCCCTTGGTCTTTGATCCACTTTTTTGACCCATAAAAGTGCAATTTTAGAATCAGATTTAATGGAAGGACAATGACCCACATAAGAGTGTCTCAAAGCATAAAGAATAGCCATAAATTCAGCATAATTAGAGTCCTAAATACCTAAGGGATCATAAAAAATTCCAACTATAAAACCTTTAGAATTACAAAGAACTCCACCACACCTTAAGGCCTTTCCACTATTTTTGAGGCAAGAAGAACCGAGCGGGGATCTGATGTGGAATGTTTAAATCCCCGTTGAGAGAGATCATTAAAGTGGAGAAGCCATTCTGTACATAATAAGAAGCAATCCAATCGACTTCTTTAGAATCAGTGCCATACCAAGTAAATTTCTTATCCAATAAAGGTCAGTCTGCAAGCTCACACAGATTGATAAAATCATTAAATTCGGAAATACCTATGCCAAGGGAAGCACAACCCTTTCGTTCGTCCGCACATCTAACTGTATTGAAGTCACCAGCACAACACCAGTCAGTTGAAGAAGATGCACGTAAATAAAGAAGATCTTGCCATAATTGACGTTTTTCCTTCAAATCACAGGGAGCATGAATACTGACAATAATACAGTTGAAGCTGTTAGGGAGCCAGGTACCATCAAAAACAATAAATCTCTCAGTGATAAGAGAAGAAGAAGAGGGAAAGAAATTCTTATCCCTAACTGTGAGAATGTCTCCTGAACGTCCATTTGCGCGACAAAAGACCCAACCGATATTATTATGACCCCATCAATGTTCAACAGTACTACTTCGAGAATCAACAGATTTTGTTTCTTGAATAAGCAGAATTTGGACTTTATGAAGTTGAACCAACTTATTGGCAGCACTTAATTTTTGAGAACAACCTATCCCACAGATATTCCATGATAGCGTATGCATTGCAAGATCAACAAAGGATAGATGGAGAAAAGAAAGACATACGGATTGCAATAAGAGAGAGAGAAAAATACAGAACAACTCTTCTGACAGATAAAAAACAAGCAGTAGATTCTATCTTACCAACAGTAAGAAACTACCAAAGAGAAGAAATTAAAACATTAACTTTCACCGACCATCAGAAGAAAGACTTTCGCATATTATAAAAAAACAAAACAAAAACTAATAAATACCAAACCAAACAGGCCATAAAACAAAAATCAACAGAGCTTTACACGCTGGATTTACCCTTCATACAAGAGATGTTTTCCATCTTATGAAGATTATTAACAATAATGTCCTCAGAACACCTCGGATAGAAACCCAATTGCAAGCCTACATCCCATATGGCCTCTACTTCATTAGCGATAAGAGCGTTCCGATTATAGAAATCATCATCTGAGAGGGATGCATTAGCACATGGGCTATTAGAATTCTGAAGAAATACCCTTTTCGTTTGCCTATTAATTCCCTTCTTCCTTTGCTTCCTATATTTTCTTAACCTTCTTTTCCCTCCTTTAACCACACCAGAGATATCTTCCAAGAAAGTTACATTCTTGAAGGTGGGATAGCCAACAGATCATCATGTTCAATAGAAACATCACCCTTAGAAGGAGAGCCTTGCTGTTCATGAGAACCCAAACCTTGAAGGTCAACACAATCGTTCTTAAAAGTTGGCTCAGAAGCTGATTTGGACATTAACATTGAGCACAACAGGGGGCTTGAAGCGTCTAGGTAGAAATTTGGATGGTAAGGAGAAGAGGAAGCCAAGCCTAGATTATGGTGATTAAGATTAGATGGGCAAGTCATGAAAGGAATGCCTGGGCCTGAAACACCTTGGGAGTCACAAGGTGATAAGGGAACCGCTAATTGTGGGCTTGAAACATTTTATGGTGAAGTGTTCCACGCGTGTAGCGGAACTCTTGAAATTGAAAGCCGACAACGTCTTTCTCTGATTTCCACATTAGGAGACCAAGGTTGAAGATTAGAAAACCATTCATCAAGCCAATCCCAATTTGTAGATTTATCTTGCTTAAAAGTTTGGGAATCAAGAAAGGAAATGAGGTAAAGAAACCCAAATAATCGTTTGACGTCAAAACCCAATTTACCACAACATTTAAAGGAATTTAACACATCTTCTGCTTCATGTTTATTTTTGCAGTAGCCCAAAAGACAACTCTCAAGCCAATGAAGAGCTTCATTTTCAATATGACCCAAGCAAAATCTCGATGACTCGTTTAAGGGCAGTGGAGGATGAGGGGACGACATAGGAAGTTCAACAGAAGGAGGTAAAGGTTGTTGCCCAACTAAAACTTGAAGGTAAGATTTACCGCTAATATTTTCCACAGAAGGATTTGGGTTAAGATCTTAAGTTTCAGTTTTGTGTAAGGGAAAATTATTAAGGTTTAGAGAACATGAGGAAACTAGGGTTTGTTTGTATGTAAGATGTGATTGACTGGAAAAGCTTTGTGGGTTTGGGAAAGAAGGTCTCTTTTCCTGGGTGCACTAGGATTCAATTGGTGAGCCAGATTCAAAGCCAGACGATGCTCAAAGAAGTTGACTCCATTCAATTTACCCATAACTTTGTAAGCCTCACTCAAAGAGACGAACCGAGCAAAACCAAAGACCCTATCATAACGAGGTTGTCTCTGTAGGATTAAAGCATCAATAACGTTACCATGATTCTTACAAATTGTGAAGAGCC